CTGTCCCTTCCTCCGTTCTCCTCCCTTTCTGTGAAAATCCAGATTGTAAGGGCCATGACATGTCTATGGGCTTCGGTCACTATGCCAAGTGCTGCTGATATGGACATTGGTATACAAATTATAAATAATAAGAGCAAACCTCCAGTCTCTGAGCTGGGGCTGTGTCCTCCGTGTGTCCTTCGGGGTCTCTGATCTTGGCCTGTGTCTCCAGTCTTTGCTCCGAGGGAGGGTGCAGCAAATTCACCACCCTGACCCACAACTCAAAGAGGTCCTCTCGCTGGTCGGGTGGAGAACAGAGCTGCAAGTAGAAGGCCCGTCCGCTCGCCAGCTTGAATCGTAGCTGCTTCTTCCTTGCGTTGTGAACCATGATCTTCACAAAACGCAAAGGAAGGAGTCTGGAGTGAAGGAAGAAGAGAAAGGTGGTCAGGACAGGAAGGAAGAAACCTTCATGGACAACTCATTTACTGGGCTCGAGGTGGGTTACTTTAAGCACACAGAATCCAGTAGCACCGTTATGTATTGGGACTGGAATATTCCAGGACTGTTTTTGAGAGCCAGTTTGGTGTAGTGGTTAAGTGCACAGACTCTAATCTGGGAGAACTGGGTTTGATTCCCCACTCCTCCACTTGCACCTGGCTGGATGACCTTGGGCAAGCCGTAGCTCTGATAAGAGCTGTTCTTGAAAAAGAGCAGTTTCTGTCAGAGCTCTCTCAGGGTGGGGTATAAATCCAATCTCCTCTCCTCCTCCTCTTTTTACCAGAGACTGGCTGAGCTTGAAGCTCTAGAACAATAGCTCACCAGGACTCTGAAGGTGACCAGTGAGGAATTAATGTTATGTAAATCGCCTATCGTTGGGAGTTGGGTGTGGTGTTTGCATGCTATTTAAACAGGGCTGTTGTTCTGGAGTTTAGTCTTGTATCTGCTGAAGAGCTGATCACTATACTTTGGGTCTGCTCATCCATGGAACCCAGCATTTAACACACCTTAATGACTAACTAAATTTGAGGTGGGGTATGAGCTTTCAAGAGTCACGCGTCACTTCTTCAGAAAGCTCCTATCCTGCCATAAGTTTTGTTAGTCTTTGGCCCCGGTCACACAAAAGGTTTTGGGCCGGGAGAGGGACGGATCGGGGGCGCAGCAAACGGGCACGATCCCACCGCAACATCTGGGAAGCGTTGTGCACCCGTCCCCGATCCGGCCCTTCCGCCCAAAAAGCCGCAGCAAAAATACACCACCTACTGAGGTGGACCTTCCAGCACGGCCGCATCAAGCCCGGCCGTGGGATCGCCGGCGCGTCCTTCTGCCGGCGTATCCCAGGGTCCTGGCTGAACTGCACATGCTCACACATGTGCAGTTTGGCAGCCTCCCTTTCCCCACTGTGGCTTCCCCCGGCATCTGATCGTGCCGGGGAGGGAATGCGCCGCGGCTCAGGGAATCAATGTGATCCCGCCACCACGTGTTTCTTTTGGTGCGGCTTTAAAAAGCCACACTTTGCCCGTACCTTCCCCCCTTCCCCCGTGTGGCAGGGACCTTTAAGGTGCTACTGGACTCTCTTTTCTACTGCTACAGACAGACTATAACATGGCCACCATCTTGATTTAAGCACTCAGTTCTGCTTAATACTCAGTACAGAGCGTTGACTGTCTAAAGCCTCTAACTAATGCATGACATATCTTATCCCAGAAGGGATGCCAACCTCCAGGTGGGGCCTGGGGATCCCCTGGAATTACAGCTCATCTCCAGACTACAGAGATCAGTTCCCCTGGAGAAAATGGCTGCTTTGGAAGGGTGAACTCTAGGGCATTGTACCCCACTGAGGTCCCTGTCCTCCCCAGGCTCCACCCTCAAATCTCCAGGAGTTTCCCAACCTGGAGCTGGCAACCCAACCCCCCCACCCCAACAGTGGCCAGGGGGGACCTGGCAACCTTAGTCATTCTTTCAGCAGCTTTGGAAACCAGGGCCAGTGATATTAGAGGAAGCACTAAGGCTTCAAGCGTGTGTCTGATGAATGCCTTCGCTCAAGTGAGGTTTAACAAGATGATTCCCTGGTTCATAGTTGCTCAGACATGGTGCTACATTACCTTTCTGCTTGGAACAATTAAACCTTTCACAGCAAATCATGCTAAACAGATCCTGCTGTTTTGTAGCCAAAAATAAGCAGGAGCTTTATGGCGAGCTCTCTGGATTTGTTTATGCTGAAACGGACTCGCCCGGTGACTCCTCTGGAGCTATTCTTTTGAGTTTCCCCCCCTTGCTCAAGTAGTTGAAAGTTCTGGGGACACCTTTTACAGGGACCCACCTCTCCTGGGAAGTAAGCGGGCAGGAGATTTATGCTGCCTTTGCAAGGACTGTTTGCAGCGTGGAGTGTGGTTAGAGCAAGGAAGCATGCTCTCAGGTGGGGCAGTGGCTGCTTCCATGTGCAGGTTTTCCTGTAACAGTTCTTTTGGGGCTTCTGCATAACATTGGTTATCCATTTTCCATGTATCCATTTTCCATGTTTCCCCTGGCTCCGTCACATGTTTCCCCAAACCTGCTTCTGGAGTTGATCCTCCAGGACAGATCGTACCAAAAAAGGGCTGTTTCCACTATGAGATTTCCACCCAGGTGGGAACACAGCATGCCCCATTGAAAGCCAGTTTGGTGTAGTGGTTAGGAGCATGGACTCTAATCTGGGATTCCCCACTCCCCCACCTGTAGCTGCTGGATGACCTTGGGCAGGCCATAGTTTTGATAAGAGCTGTCCTTGAAAAAGAGCCGTTCCTGTCAGAGCTCTCTCAGCCCTGCCTACCTCACAGGGTGTCTGTTGTGGGGAGGGGAAGGGAAAGGAGTTTGTAAGCCACTCTGAGACTCCTTCGGGTAGTGAAGGGTGGGGTATAAATCCAATCTCCTCCTCCTCTTCTTCTTCTTCTTCCTCTTCCTCTTCTTCCTCCTCCTCCTCCTCCCACACACAATGTTATACTCTTTCCCAGCATGGCACATGGGGTTCCTGTGGGTTTTCCTTGTGAGCTGACTTTGCGCTAACTTTGGCACCCTGAGCCTGCTTCGGTGGGGAGGGTGGGGTATAAATAAATCAATGAATTAAGGGAGAATAGCGCAGTGGTTGTGGGCTCAGCCTCCATGTGAAAGCCCCGCCTGTAAACCAACCCAGAGGGTGAGGGATACCATTGCCTTCAAAATGGCGGTGCTACACTCTGTGTCCCCCCCCCTTCCAGTTCTTTGTAACGGGGTTCTTTTTGTTTAACAGCTGAGGGCTGTCTCAGCTGCTTTGGAGAAGGGGGAATTGCTGGGCTGCAGGAGAGCCCAGGGAGATTCTTGTGGGGTCGGTGCTTCTGGGGGAAGGAAGTGGGGATGGGGGGGCACCAGCAGGGATTTTCCCAATCACAACAGGGTGTGAATGCTGTCCTTACTGACTTCCAAGCCATTTGGTGCTCCTTCAGTTGCGTTTGTTTGTGTGTGGGGCTCGCTTTTTACTGGGCGTTTTTAAAAATCAGTAGTAGACCTATTGCTATTGCATCATTATACTGTAGCACAAGAGCTCCCATCCAGGGGCCTGTGGGCGCCACGGTGCCTGCTGACACCTTTTCTGGTGTTTTGAGGAAGTGGGTGGGGATGGGTAGGGCTTTTGTCCAGCAAGGCTTCTGATTGGCTGCTGGAGGCGTGATTGGCATGATTGGCTGTGCAGATTTATAATGTTGCTTTGGCAGCAGCTGCCCCCACAGCACAAGAATCTGCATTGTGTGACTGAAGTTAAGCCGTGGCAGCCATTTTGTGGCAAGCTCCGCCTCCTGTGGCAGCCATTTCTGGCCCTGCTGGTGGACGTCCTGAATGGCACCTGTGTTTTGGTCACTGTGTGACACAGAGTGTTGGACTGGATGGACCGATCCAACATGGCTTTCCTTATGTCCTTATTTTGTGGCAGTGATTTTGTGGCTGCACCCACCACCATGCCCTGTCAGAATTCTAAATGAGCCTGCAGGGAATACTTCCAGGTGGAAGTTCCATTGCTGTGGCAAATGCCATGAGAACAAACTGAGGAATTGTCCCATATGGAAGAAGAGAAGTTTTGGATGATTAAAGTGAAATCATATAAACTACTAAGCCACTTGCTTTGAATCCTCTGATTCTTTGCCACCCAAACCCCCATCCCAGGTTAACACTTTAACACATCAGTCCATTATGGGACTTTTGCCCATCACTGATAAATCGGCTCTCCACTGAATGAGGCAAGTTTCTAGACCTCATGAGCATCATAAAAAAAATGTCATGCCAAATGTTCTTCTGCCTTGTTTTCCATGGTATTTACCGGCTGGAACACTATCTCAGAGAAGAAGAAGGAAAGAGAAGAAGAGAAGAGAAGAGATTGGATTTATACCCCACCCTTCACTACCCAAAGGAGTCTCAGAGTGGCTTACAATCCCTTTCCCTCCCCCTCCCCACAACAGGCACTCTGTGCGGTAGGTGGAGCTGAGAGAG